CAAAAAATGGGCCTAATAGAAGTACTAAAAATCTGGAAAGGCCCATTTCCAGCATCCGAAGGGCCTCCGGAGCCCAGGGAGGCCATTTTCGCCCTCCTGGAGTCTCAGAGAAGCCTCTGGAGCCTGGGGAAGGTGAAAATGCCTCTCCCTGCTGTGCTGCAGGAGGCTGAGTAGGCCACGCCCACCATGGCCATCCCTACTCAGCAACCAGGCAGAGAATTGGTTGCTAACATTTCAGAATCCCACAACTGATAAATATATGATTTCTGTCTATAGAAGTTAATATCTTGGTGCACATTTTCAAATCTCTGGCTTAAATTAAATAAAATTAAAAGAGTGGCATTTGCTCATAAAAAACATATTGTGAGTGTCAAGAGTGAATAAATCAAATTAAGTTATTAACAATAGTGCAATTGTTATTTCTGGCTATTGTTTTCTCTCCAATATTAAAGTAGCAATATTACATTGAACAATTTTTAAAAGTACTTTCAGAAATATGAGTCTCTCAAATAAGTTTAAGAAGTTAAATGGGTCTGAGATTACAATATGGTTCAGAAAGTTTCTAGCATTAGAATTTTACAAATGAACAAAGATGGGTTGACTAAATCAGCTTATAGAATTGTTCATAGGATAAACCTTAATATTTCTTAAAATGATCTCTATTAAGAAGCTTAGCTACGTTTAAGATTGCATAATGTTGTCAAACAACATTACTAATCACATTGAATGTAATAGTGGGCTTCATGTAAAGGGAATCATCTACTTAAGAGCTTTGTGTAGTCATTTCCCACCTGTCTTCCTTACAAAGGAAAACTGCCAATGAAATTTCATTACTGACAACTTCAGGACAATTTCAAGCAATAATCTTGCCCTTTCCTGAGTAGGACACTCTTTAGCTTAAGACTGTTCTGCACTGCTTCTTCAGCTTCCCCTGCTACTAATGTATTACAGAGACTCCCCTCAAATTAAGACCATAATGGAAGCTGCCCATTATGACTGTGAGCTGTAACAGTCATAAAACACATTTTTAATTACTTTTTGTGGCTATCATTTTGCAATGATTCGCTATCGGTGCAGTTTTCAGCAAAACCATTGCAAAATGCAGTCATGTAACCATGGGACATTGCAGATGACCTTGGATGCAGCTGTGTTGGTCAATCACTCAAAGTCATCACATGACCCGGTGGGGAGAGAGACTGTCAAAACTTTGGATTGGGTTGTAAGTCCTCTTTTTCAGATAGGTCGGGATTTTGAAGAATCGCTAAGCGATGGATTGTAAATTGAGGACTATCTGTAATGCATATCCTCTGCAATCAATTGGAACAACCTAGGACAGGGGTGTCAAATTCAAGGCCCGGGGGCAGGATCTGGCCCATGGAGTGCTTAGATCTGGCCCTTGGGGTTGCCCTGAAAATAGTGAAGAACCAGCCTGCAGTGCCTCTGCCAGAGTGTAGCCCTCCCGAGCTCCGTTTTCACTGGCAGAAGATAGCAGGAGGCCATTGCAGCTGAAAATGGAGCTTGGAAGCTCGTTTTCACTGGCAGAGTGCTCAGGTCTCCACAGGCACCCCTGACATGAATGACATCAAACTAGCCATGCCCACCCTGGCCCCCCAAGGTCAAGCACAACCCTGATGTGGCCCTCAATGAAATCGAGTTTGACACCCTTGACCGACGATAAGCAAAACTCTGCTGACACACACCCTTTCTCGCAATCCTTGGATAACATCCTGCATTTTTATGAGGTATAGTTTAATGTTGAAATAATGTTTTCAAATTGTGATGAAGAACTATGTAAAAAGATGATCATGGTTTCAGAATTGGAGAAATAAATATTAATAATATGCTGGCAGCACTATTTGGATAGCTGAAAATATGTAAGATCTGTAACATGCAGCATTAAAAGTCAAGGAGCACAGTGAAAAAAATGGACAAAAATTAAATAATAAAAAAAACCCAAACTAATGACAGGATGGAAATAATCAGCCTTAGACCTGACAATGAAGACATCAATTCAAAGGTTGATAGCTTCTGATTTTTAGGATCAACCACCGAAAGAAACAAGCAATTGAGAAATATGCTACAGACCAGCATATAGAAAGAAGCCATGAAGGCCTCTTGAGAAAAATATTCAGATTACATTATGGGTCTTGTGGGCCACACAAGATGCACTTTGCAATACTGACAACATGGACTTTGTAGTATTGCTTTACTTGTTAACTAACATAATTATTTTGTATTTTTGTATTGTATTTGACTTATTTTTCTCTCTTTTTAATGATGTTAGTGATTTGATTGATAACTTCTCACATTCCTAAACTTCTAAATTAAAAAAAAAAACTTTCTTTGTTTCCCAGGTCAGGATAGGATGGGGTCTGGAGTTTGTCTTCTGAGAAGAGATAATGTATTAGCACTAATTGATACCTGGTTGCTCTCATTGTGAACTCCAAATAACTTTATGACTTTTTTCCTCATTAACATCTTAAATTTTTACACCTCTGCTTTTGTCAAACCTCATTTAAATGGGCATGTGCCTTGTCACCTGTAATATGTTTTAACTCTGTATAACTGATTTTCTATGCAAAGGGGGGAGGTTACTTTTGTCCTGTCTGATCAACTTTTCTCGTGTCATTTCCTGTGATATATTAATTCTAAAAGGGACTGAAAGGTAGGTCTCCAAGTTCCCTCGTTGAATAAGAGGAATCCTTTTTAGTCAGAACATTCTAAATAAATTATAATAAAATGATCCTCCTTTCTCGGTCTGTTTCATTGGAAAGTGTGCATGATGAGTCCTGGAAAACCATATTTGGCTAACAGTCTATATCCGTGATGGCAAACCTATGGCACGCGGAGGCATTTGATAGGGCATGCGAGGCATTGCCCTGTCAGCGCCAACACTGGCCAGGTGACTTTGCCATTCTTTTGAAGCCTCTAGAGTGTGAAAAACCGGCCCTATGGGCAAACCAAAAGTTCAGGAATGGACTTCCGGTTTGATCATAGGGCCGCTTTTTGCCCTCCGGAGCCTTCAGGACACTTCCCTGAAGGCTCAGGAGGGTGAAAAACGGCCTTACAGGCAAACCGGAAGTCATCATTCCGGAACTTCCGGGTTCCCCATAGGGCTGTTTTTCGCTCTCCAAGCGCCTGAAGTCGGGGGGGGGGGGAGCCTAGAAAGCCTCTGGAGCATGAGGAGGGTGAAAAACCGTGCCAAAAGTGGGGGGGAGTTGTGCGCATATCATTATGGGTATGGCACAACTGTGTACAACCCCCCCCTGTGCTCCCCCCACTTTTGGCACAGGAGCCAAAAAAGGTTAGCCATCACTGGTCTATAACTACAAAGATCAGTACAGTAGACTTACCAGGCAGACCAGACCAAAAACATGACCAGATAAACTAATTATACTTAATTGTAAAGCTAAGTCGTGGTGGCCCAGTGGTTAGAGTGCAGAATTGCAGGCTACTTCTGCTGATCACCAGCTGCCAGCAGGTTCGCAGATCGAATCTCACCAGACTCAGCCTTCCATCCTTCCGAGGTGGGTAAAATGAGGACTCAGATTGTTGGAGCCAATAGGCTGACTCTGTAAACCGCTTAGAGAGTGCTGTAAAAGCACTGTGAAGCAGTATATAAGTCTACGTGCTATTGCTATTTCTAATAGAATCTTGCAGGTCCGAAAGTAGAATTCTCCTGCTTCCATCTTTGCAGATGAAGAACTTACAGATCAAGAACTTTGTGCTTCTTCCTCCACCTACTATACAGATGTGGGCTATCTGTCCCATATCTGACCATTCACTAGGCAGCAGCATTTCCTTGACTCATCTCCCAAGGCCTTATTTTTTATTTAGTGACTGCATTTATATAACTGCCCATCTCTCTAAAAGTGTCTCACACAGGTATTCTCTGTGTCATTCTATTATGACCTGGAAGTTGGGAGTCTGAAGGAGGATGGGGAACATAGCTTTTGAACTTTGGTGTTGGAGAAGACTCCTGAGAATGGCAAAGAAATAAATCAATGGATCAAACAAATCAACTCGACAGTTCTCCCTCAGGGTATAAATGATCAGGCTGTAATTAGCTTATTTTGCACACATCATATGGGGAGCCTTGGTGGTGCAGTGGTTAAAGTGGAGTATTTCAGGCAAACTCTGCCCACAACCTGGAGTTGGATCCTGACAAGAATCAAATCAACTCAGCCTTCCACCCTTCTGAGGTTGGTAAAATGAAGACCCGGATTGTTGGGAACAAATATGCAAATAATGTCTACATTGTAAACAGCCCAAAGGATGCTGTAAAGTGTTCTGGGGCACTATATAAGCCTAAATGCTAGCGATATTGCTATGAAAGCTAGAGAAAGGTCTAATGCTGGAAAATGTGGAAGAAAAGAAAAGAAAAGAAGAGGAGCAGCAGATGGATGAACTCAATTATAATGGCGATGAGTACACTGTAGGAAGACCTGAAAGACCATGCTAGGGACAGGTCGTCATGGAGAAAAATCTATCTATGTGGTTGCTAAGAGTCAACACTGACGTGATGGCACATACTCAATTAAATCAATCAAAAAAAATGAAGAGCATGTTTTTCAGATCCAATTGAAGAGACAGCCACTGTATTCTCCTCCCCCATACAATAGCTTCTTTTCCCCATGAATTTCATCCATATAGCAAGAAAAATTTTCCTTTTCACAAATGAAACCAGCAGTTGTGAAACGGCCAAAACGGTTATGGGGCTATAATATAAATCAATGCTTGTAGAAAAATTAATAAGCTTAATATCCAATTAATTATCTTTGGATGCCATGAAATTTTTCTGGCTCTTTACGTTTGTTTAAAATTAAATGGATACTTCAATGTTTTACTGATTTCTTTTTTGCATTGGCTTCAGTTCTTAAGCTTACTAATTTAAAATCCTTGCAAATTGTACTGCACAGTGTCTTAACAATTCCTACATAAAGATGTTGGACACACATATGAGATACAGGTATTTTAAATCCTGCTTGTCAAATACGTACCAGGTTTCCCACTGAAAGTACTTGGTAGAAATCAGAAGTCATTGGATAATGTTCCATGGCCATAAACAGTGTATTCAAAACTATACAGATAGTAATGGCAAGATCGACAAATGGATCCATCACTATCAAATTGACGATGTGCTTTACTTTTAACCAAGGGAGCCAGCAATCCCAGATCAAGAAAACATTTGCAAATCTATACCAGCACGGTGGACACTTCTGTCGAGATTCTTCAAGTTCTGGAGATTGATAAAAGATAGGTATTAGCTTTTTCAATTTAGTGTATTCCATGTTCTGCAGTGTTCTGGTAAACTACTTGTAAAATTAAGAATGCACGGTAAATATGTTTATTTCTACTGCTTACTAATTTATTTACAGAGATAGAAATATCAGGGTTGATTTGTGGAGTCTTTGGTGCTGTCTGAACTTGGTTGTTGTTTGCAGACATTTCATGCTACACAGTAAGGTAGGGGTGTCAAACTGGCGGTCTGCAGGCCAGATGTGTCACGTGCAGGCCACACCCACCCCAGCTCCACAAAGGCAAAAAATGTTGCGATGCACTGGGATATGTCACGTGACGCGATCGAGTTTGACACCCATGCAGTAAGGTAATGAAATGCCTGCAAGCAAACAACTAAGCTCAGAGAACAACAAGGATCCACAGAAACACGTACTCTTATAACTAAACATGCTTTCATACAGTCCTCAGAATTAATTCTGACACAGGACATTTTAACTGAAACAGATAAGACTCTTACCAACAGTTACTCCTACCTATTGTCTTAGCTGCAATTAAGTCTTATTCACCACAAGAATTTGCTGCAGTTAAACCAGTAAACATTAGGGGAGAATGTAAGGAAGACTTTAATTTTTCAGTGGAAAGTAGAAAAATCAGCACACTTAGATCACAGACTATCCTTCACTGCTTTATCTGACCTATCATTTCAGTGAATTGATTAAATTTATGCATATCTTACTTACAATCAGGGGTGGATTCCAGCAGGCACTACTGCCGGTTCACTTGTGGGTATGCTGCGCGTGCGCGCACTTGATGCACGCTGTGCGAGCTTCCACAGTACAATCAAAATTGTTCTCTGCATGTGCAGAACTGAAAAACAAGATGGTGGCGCTTATGACGCCACCCAGAGAACCAGTTCGGGAACGTGGCAGGCCTCCAAACCACTACCGGTTCGGCCGAACCAGTCCGAACTGGTAGGAACCCACCACTGCGTACAATTCTGTGTGGCTAAGAACAGTAACAAAATGCAACAATAAAATTACTGCAACCAAAGAGTTGCAAATATATTACTTTTGAGTTCAGAGTCCTAGAGCTCTTGTTAAATTGTTGCATTAATATGCTATTTTTAAAGTAATCACTTGATTCTATGTACAGTAGCTGACCTGTAAGTATTCAGGTTGACCTTTGCATGAATTCTAGCTAAAGGTTTTTAAGTGTCTTTGTCTGATAATCTAAAGCATTGGCATTTTGACCCAGTGTTCATTCATTACTGAATGAAGTTTTCCCACCATACTTTGGCACAGAATGTTGGAAGCTAGCAACTTTTATTCCTACATCCCTACATTCCACCTGTTCCTTCCCACTTCATGGATGGGACACAAAAAGAAAAAAAGTACTGGAATTAAAATATACGCCTAAGATTTCACCAGTAAAACTGCTTCCATTGGAGAGAATGAAATCAGAGTGGTATCACTTTACATAAAAATAATGACTCCTACCATACCTTCCATAGTATTTGTTAGGATACTGGCTATACTCATGGCTCTCTGCCTTGCTGCAGATTCTTCCATCAGCTCCATCGAAATTTGATAAGAACTTAATCTTCTTTTTCTTATTTCTGTTTCAGTTGTTGTGCCCTGAAAATAAAATTATGAGTGAGAGATAGATTGAGTTCTTGGTACCTATGTAACCTTAGGGAAGGGGGACTTTAAAGATCTTATCTGTGTGTGCCAGTTACTGCTATTAGACCTATCATTTATTACGTGATGATGGAAGTAAAATGTTTCCTCACAGTTGATTTTAATAATTTTTTTCTGTGTTGCACAAAATGATTTCAGGCTAATCTTCCAGTTTAAAGCTTTAGGGCAGTGGTTCCCCACCTTTATTTTTGGCCATGCCCCACCTAAGCATCTTTAAAATCCTGATGCCCCCCCCCCCCGGTGAAATATAATTCTTAATTTACTCAAAAGGTGAACTCTACTCACGCGGAGGAAGCCTAAAAGGCCATTAACTTGGTTTAAACAAGGTTCAAATTGCGTCCATTAAAAATCAAATTGCCACCCAGTGGGGTGTGGGCCCCATGTTGGGAGCCACTGTTTTAGGGTAAATCTCTTCACTATATCTGATAATAAGTCAAAAAGAATTAAACTTTTATGATAGTATGTTGCAGGTTTTAGTGAAAGAGCATACCAAAGTTACTCTGAGTCTGTCAAATATATATCATCACACCTATCTCTCATGCAAGGATAGGAAACAGAAAAATCAGATGAAGTGACTCCACAAACAGAGTTCCTGCTAACCCAAGATTGATTTCTTATTAATTCTCCATCCCTCCATCCATTTTTCTTTGACATTTCCTAACTCTCAAAGAGGATTTTTTACAGATTAGGGATCTGATTGACCTCTGTCAATCAGATACACCCTCAGGCAACGTAGAACCACGTATCTTAAGATGAAAGGATGGACAGTCCAGAAATAACATAGCAAATAAGTATTTCAGAAAAGGTCAAATACAACAAACGTAGTTTAATCACCTCTGGTAAAAATTGTCCAGTAGGTGAAGGGAGAGCAGGAGGTCCTCCCAATAAGGAAACAACACCATTGCAATCCACTGTGCTGTGCATCTTTCCGTTTGCAGGAAGCACCGGCACCATCTTTGATGACAGGCTGATTTGACTGGTAGTACTGTTGCGACGCTCACTTGTTTGTCTGTTTGGAACAAAGAGAGAATCTCTCCTGCTCTCATTGTCTTCCAGAGTACTGTGTTCATCATCAGCAAAGTCATTCTCTGACCCAATATCCTTCACTCTCCCTCGGAAGCTGAAAATACTTGTTCTGCTGTTGCGCCGCGGGGAGAACAGAGAGCCACGAAAGCTCAGCAAAGACTGTAAGGGAGGCAAAACAGAACACAGACCAAACCCGTTATTGTTGGGAGTTATTTGTAGATGAGTAGCTTCCTTGATAGTTATCTTTCAGGACAGCAAAGAGGTTATCAATTGGGGGGGTCCCAATCGGGGATGCTCGCACCCTCTGGGGGTGCGGGACGATATTCCAGGGGTGCGAAAACTTTCAAAATTATAGTGTAGATGTATAATTATATGCATATAATTATTTATTTTTAAATGGGTGGAGAGAATATATCAGAAGCATTCTAGTGGTGCGGGGTATAGAAAAGGTTGGGAACCCCCTGTTATGAATTAAAGAAATAAATGACACATTCTTTGACATGCATTCTTACAAATTAAGATATCTAGCTCTGATCTGTTCTACAAGACAACATGAGAAGAACAATGGGTCATATATTCTTCCATTCATCCTCTGTCTTCCTTGAGTGGAACACTTCAAATATAAGAAAATGATTTCCAATGACAAAAAAGACACCTCGACCAGCCAGCTGTTACAGACAGTTACGGGAGCAACCCAATGGCTAGATTTATTTAACCAAACTACTGTAATTAATCCACCATTTATTAATCATGCTGCTTCATCAATTGATGCTTTCAGCAGCCACAGGAGACTGAAGTGGTGATTTTGACATTGAGAGCAGGAAAAAATCAATTTTTGCTGCTTATCCTTTTATTTAATTGCACTACAAGAAATCCTCAATGGAAACTTTTGCTCCTTCCCTACATATTTCATTAGTAGCATTCATGAATTAATAAAGTTATCACCAATGTCAGAAAAAAACACACATTCACAAACAATTCATATATTATTGTTCCTATATTTGAACTTCTTTTCAGTAGTTTATATTCACAATGATCACTGCAATTGCAGTATGCAAACATTTACAAAACACTTAGTTCAACTTATTAATGTGAATTTAAGATGATAAACTAACAATTTTATTTAGACATCAGTATTCATCAATATTAGTACTCATATCAAATTCTACATGCTCTTTTAAGAAAAAGATAGATATAATTGTCCAAGTTACAAGAAAAAGTGACTTTTTCAGGCACATTTTTAATCAGACAATCATTTTTTAGACTTTAGAGACTCCACTGCAATGCCCAAATAAAGTTAACACCAAGTATTCATCAATATGAGCTCTATTTATTGTCTCAATGTTTTGAACTAAATTTTATTTAATATTCATAAGCTGCCTAAATACCTTTGGGCAAGATGGGAAGCATACAAGTTTGATAAATCCATAATAAATAAAGAAATAGAGAGGAAACAATCTATTGGCCCTCTTTCCATGCAGTGTTTACTTAAATTCTATAAACCAGGCACTTGAAAACCAAAATTCCCACGCTTCTCATCTCACCAGCAAATTACTACTTTACCTTAGGTAGGCAATACTGCTGTTCTTTCCTTCTTGGTGACAGGATATGAAAGCATTACAGCCCTTCACAATGAAGAAGACTTAATATAAATTGCACAAAAACTAAAGTTCTTTTTTTAAAAAAAGGATCAAAGACAAATGGCAGCTTGGCGGCCGCAGAGGAAGATAGACACTACACACATTTCATGGCACACAAGGTCACAAGAAGCCCAAATCCCACAAAGGATAAGAATCTGATACTCTTTAAAATTTTATTTTTAAAATTCAGATGGGAGGCCGGTTTATACTCATAGCTTCTGGGAAGTTTTAAAGAGTAAAATTTTGCAAATCTTTTATTTGGTGTGCAGCAGAGGTGAAATGCTACTGGTTCTGACCAGTTCACTAGAACCGGTAGCAAAAAATGCTAAGGTTCGCCCCAACCGGTAGTAAAAAAAAATCTTTAAAAAGTGGAAAAAAATGGTTCCAATGATCGCGTGGCTCATAGCTGATCCGTGCGATTGTGGGAACCATTTTTTCCCACTTTTTAAAGCATTTTTTTTCCTGCCGGTTCGGGCGAAAAGGTAAGAAAAAATGCTTTAAAAAGTGAAATAAAGAGGGTTCAACAATCCCGCGGATCAGCTGTGAACTGCGCAATCATCAGACCCTCTTTATTTTACTTTTTAAAGCATTTTTCCCCCTATCTATTTGCCTGAACCGGCAGGAAAAAAATGCTTTGAAAAGTGGAAAAAGGTTGGCCACACCCAACCGGTCAAATGACCATAACCACCAAGCCACGCCCACAGGACTGATGGCAAAAAAAATTAGATTATACCACTGGTGTACAGGCCCTTACCTATAAAGATTTCTATATTTTGGAAAAATACAACCTAACTTTCTAAGGGCAAATTTTTGGATTTCAAAATAAAGCCAATTTTATTTCGCTAGAAGCCCTGTTTGGCAAGATAAACTCATATATTTGGCTAAAGCTATAATATTGGCCAGAAAGTTATCCCATCCCAACTTTACATAATCATTTCAGATAAACTCTCTCTTAAAACAAAACTATCCATGTATCTATGGAATATCTAAAAGTCAAGGAAATAAAACAGAGTGCTTTGAACACTGATAAACAAAATTATTTTGGCAGACCAACCCAAACTTTATTATTTTCTTTGTTTATTTTCTTTGTAACTTTATTATTACCTTCGGTTTGGCTTCTTTCTTTTCCTTTCTAATGCCTCTCCTGAAGAGGCTGCCATGTATTTTTATACAAGTGCCCCACATTTTGAATGAGTATGCACTTATCTGTTCTGGTCTGGTTGAATCAGTAGCACATGCTTGATCAAATTGTTCCTTTTATAAGGATTAATAATAACATCTCTTTGAACAAACTACGTAGGTAGATCCGGCGCATTGTAATGCACTCTTTTATCTGATTCAAATCTAGCCAGGACTTATAAGGTACAAAAACCTGTTTCTTGGAATGGAGTTATTAATAAACAAATGACATAATCGGTGATATGAAGGTTGAGCCATAAGCTTAAATCCAAATCCTGTTGCTGTACTTCAGATTTTAGGGCCAGTTTGGTATTGTGGTTAAGGCATCAAGCTAGAAACTGGGACACCATGAGTTCTAGTCTCTCCTTAGACACAAAGCCAAATTGGGCGATCTTGGGCTAGTCACATCCTCTCAGCCCTAGAAAGCAGGCAAGGGGAGACCACTTCGGGGGAAAAAACCTTGCCAAGAAAATTGCAGAAACTAGTCCAAGGAAGTCACCTGCAATCAAAAACTGACTTCAAGGAACAAAATAAATAAATAATGTTTTTACATCTTTACATTCATACTGCATTTTGTTCTTAGGTTTGTAATTATTTTTCTTCTGCTCATCCAAAATCGAATTCAGTCTAAGGTTGAAATAAAGTAATTTTCTAAACAAGATTTGCCTACTGAATTTTTACTGGCAATGTCCTTCCCCCCACCCCTTCTTTTAAACTGTAAAGTGGAGCTGTGGTGGCGCAGTGGTTAGAATGCAGTATTGCAGGCTAACTCACGGCTCACTGCCAGCAGTTTGATCCTGACTGGCTCAAGGTTGACTCAGCCTTTCATCCCTCTGAGGACAGTAAAATGAATGGGGGCAAGAAGCTGTAAACTACTTAGAGATGGATATAAAGCACCATGAACCAGTATATAAATCTAATTGCTATTGCTATAAGCAAACAACTTGTATGTTGTTGCTAAGATAATAGCATAGATGGGTTCATGTACTTACTTGATTCTTCATTGATTGTTAATTAGATTAATTTTTTGTGAGGTTTTTAATCCGGAGTCAGTTCTGTACCCTTACTGTAAACAGTGTTAATTTTAACTATTTTTTTCTCTCCACAGTATACTGTGGAGGACAAGGAAGAAGCCTCTCTGAGCAGTGTAGGAATCCCTAAACTCAAGCGTTCCCTAGGCAGCCTGTTTTTCCACAACAGCAACAAAGCAATCCTTGTGATCTCCTGGCTTAAAGCACATCACTATGAGAAGGCCTCTGGATTTTGCCATTTGCTAAATAAAGTCAATAAACAGTATACTGTCTAATTTGATTTTATTGTTTTTAATGATTGTAAGTAGTTTTAGGGTCTTTCTGAGCCAAAGAGAAAAAGATAAAGATTTCCTGTCAATTGTGCCTGATTATAGGGCATGGTGCTCATCTCCGTTTCTTAGTCGAGGGAGCCAGCGTTGTCTAAAGACAATTTCTCTGGTCATGTGGCCAGAATGACTGTATGCCAAAAGCACATAGAATGCTGTTACCTTCCCATCAAAGTGGTACCTATTTATCTACTTACATTTTCATGCTTTCAAATTACCTATTCACAATTACATGCTTTCAAACTGCTAGTGGGCAGAAGCTGGGGCAAGTAACAGGAGCTCAACCCGTTGCATGAAGCTCAGATCTCGAACCCGGGCACTCAGCTGACAAGTTCAGCATCTTTAACCGCTGAGCCATCCTACCCCTCTTTCTGAGCCAAAGAATGAGAAAGGAAAAAACCAGATGGCATCAAATGCAGCAAAAGAAAAAGGGGGCTTTTTAGGTGCATCAATATTTCTGTCTATCTCAATATCATCTCCATCTCTATCATCTATCTTGCCCTCTGTCTCTATCACCTCTATCTCTGTTTCTTTACTGAACAAATATGTTTTCAATACAAGATTTCCTCCTTGAAGTGGGATACAAGTACATTAATAAAGAACAAGTAAAGAAAACTCTTGTGCTGCTATATTTTGGTATTCAGCCGGTTTGGACCAGTTCGGCCAAACCAGTAGCGAAAATTGCGGGTGGGCCTGCCCACCCATTCTGGCTTTATGCCATCTTATTTAGGCATGTTTTTGAGGCTGGACATAAGCGCAGAGGGTGCATGTGTGAGCAAAGCGCATGTGCAAAAGGCTGGGCACATGCACAGAAGGGATATGCATGAAGCAAGCGAGTGGGTGCACATGGGGAGAACTGGTGGTAACAAAATGTGAAACCACCATTGTCCGCAAGTACAAATGCTTTAAGTTGTAACTGAAGTTGCTTCTGTTGTTCAGGATAGCTATTGGTTGATATTATCTCCTATTCATAACCCTATAGTTTCCCTGGAATCTGGAAAGAAAAGAAACACTCTCTATAATAGACCCTTGTTGCTAACAGAATAATTTGCAACTCCATAATATGGTTACCAAATTGTTAAAGTTCACATATATGGGAAAAAAACATAAAACACACTCAGGGCTATGAATTTTAAAAAGATGAGACCAATTGTGATCCAAAATCAGCAGACTTGTTATCTTACTCTATAAAAGTCAATGGAAACCATAGCAAAGAATACCAGCATTTATTAGGCATAGCCTGCCCTGTTCCCCAATCTTTAAAAAAAAAGCCACTTTATTTTCCTACAAATGGAAGTTATCAAGTTCTTCCAAAAGGAAATTCCATCGACATGGGATGGAACCCACGTACCCCATTCTGATTTTCGGACCTGAAATATACATTAGAATCTACTGCATAGTTTAAATGAACACTGTAGCATACCTGGTGAGTTGAGGTTCTCTTTTCATAGGACAAGCGACCTCCCCTTCTGATGCTGTCTTCCGATTCAGACTTAGGATACCTCTCTGCTTCTTCCTTATCTTCTGCTTCCGAGAGCTCTTTCTGCTTCTTTTTTTTCCTTTTGTTCCTTCTGTCTTTGGCACTCTTTGAGCTTAATTTAGATGCCTCCGAAGAACTTTCCAAGAGCTCCCCCAATCCACCCACGCCGCTGAAATCTCTGGATGCTACTGATGCTGCTGCCACAGCTGCTGTTGTCTGTTGTGTTACAGGATCAGGTAGTGGGTATTACTTGGATTAAAACATTCATCATCCTTGTAGAGAATTCCATTATTATTCCAAAGATACACAGTCACAAAGCAATTTCATTAAATACTAACATCAATAATGGATGTCTTCTTTGGAATGAAATAGAAAGGGAATACACAAATGAAGGCAAATATATGTATACCAGGATAATATTGCAGGATCCAATCTGGGTCGGTCCCCAGGACCAGAGGTCCAGTCTTCCGAGCTTCCGGACTCGTGCTGGAGTCCATCTTCATAGAACTTCTGTCTACCAGGATGTATACATAGACAGTATACTTTCTTTCTATAAGACAAGTTCCCTGAGGGTGGGCTCCAGCACAAGTCTGAAAGCTCGGAAGACTAAATCTCTGGTTCTGGTGACTGATCCAGATTGGATGCTGCAAAGGTAATACAGTTTTCTGCAAAGATGTGAGTACAGCAGTCCTTAATGTTTTTAATAAGGTTGCTATTAAGGAAGTGGGTTTTTTTAAGACCGCTTTGCTCCAGGACCTAAATTTTGATTAAGAATTTGGAAAAGAAGGACTAGGAGAGACATGATAGCAGTGTTCCAATATCTCAGGGGCTGCCACAAAGAAGAGGGAGACAAGCTATCCTCCAAAGGGCACATGAGGGCAGGACAAGAAGCAATGAGTGGAAACTAATCGAGGAGAGAAGCAATTTAGAACTAAGGAGAGATTTCCTGACAGTTAGAACAATTAATCAGTGGAACAACTTGCCTTTAGAAGCTGTGGATGCTTCATCACTGGAGATCTTCAGGAAAAGACCAGACAGCCACTTTTCTGAAATGTTATAGGACTTCCTGCTTGAGCAGGGGATTGGACTAAAAGACCCCCCCCCCCCACAAGGTCCCTTCCAACTCTGGTGATGTTCGATGTGCTACGATTGCAGTTGCCTTTATTTTTGCTGCTGGGTCACCCTGCCCTGTTTCTTTAGCTATCAATCTAGTCTTCAATCATTGCAGCTATTATATAAATATACAATTTGTCATTTACTTCAGCATTAGCTACTAATTTGTAAATGCTCCAACACTGGAAGTTTTTAAGAAGATGTTGGATAACCATTTGTCTGAACTGGTGTAGGATTTCCGGCCAAAGCAGGGGGTTGGACTAGAAAACCTCCAAGGTCCCTTCCAACTCTGTTATTCTATTTCTAAGAAGGCAAAACCTGACTGGCAGAGGATCTGCTTTGTGTGACGAGTTTGATCCTTTGCCTATCTAAAGAGGCAGAAAAGTCTCCATGCAGAGCTTGCTGTCAATAATGCTGAGCTAGATGGACTAATAGCTCTCTCTGCATAAATTAGCTTGTTCAGAGAGGCTGCTAACTCACAATCACCTCTGGAAACATCTGCATAGGATTCTTTTGGGGTAATACAGCAGACAATCCCACCAGCTGTTCAAGAATCAGTTGCTGTCAAAGTTTGTACCTCTACTGCTTCCACTGTGTTTTGAAAGCTTCACAGATGCCAAAGTAAACTATTTTCACCTACTACATTATTTTTACATTTTCTTGAATGCCAACACTGCGCTTATATAAACTGCTTTCCACATCTCTGACACCAGGAGGTGAGAACAACTATTGTATACATAAACATGAACTTCAGTCATGTCGGGGATCTCAATCACATATGAAAAATGTCTCAGTAAAAAGCCCACTGTTACATTCCCTTAGCTATAGAGAGTATACAGAATACAATTCTTCCCCTATTCCCTACAAGAGCCATGTTCAGCTGTGTCATTAAGGACTTCAGACAAGGTAGAAGATGAAACTGCATGCATTTGTTGTATTAACCTCCTGTCCAGTCCAGGATAAGCTCTCTCCAACCTCCACACATTTAGTTGGCAGGTGAGAAGAAAAGTACTCCAGGGGTGAAATTCAGCAGGTTCTGAATTTTGAACAGTTCAGAGAATCAGCAAATACCACCTCTTATTGGCCCCAGAGTGAGGTGGAAATGGAGATTTTGCAGTATCCTTCCCCTGCTATACTCACCAAACCACGCCCACAGAACCAGTAGTAAAAAAAAAATGAATTTCACCACTGAAGTATTCCCTTCTGCATGAATGCAAGTAGATCTCCACTTATGATTTGAAAGTCTGGTGACAGATTACACTGAGATCTGAACTCACAATCAAGCATATATGAATTCAGGATTCCTTTCACGGTCTTGCTTGAATGTGTGAAGCTAGAGAAATCCAAGTAAGTATTCCCACTTTTCACCTTGTTCAAAATTATCATGCAAATGCCTAACTAGAACTACTAACTGGCCACAAAAATAAAACTTTTTATAAAAAAAAGTAAATGCTTGTGCTCTAAGCAAACAATTTAATTGTTAGAATAGACTGCCTTGGGCATTACTTGGATAATCTTACAAAATCAATTCAGTAAGAATGGGAGACACTGTTTCAGTCTCAAGTGGGAAACCATAAAGAGGGTTCCAGCTGGATGGAGGTACAGATTCAACAATGGACCAAGATGACCGCCCCCCCCCCACTTTGCATTCCCACACTCTCATTATCAATTTATTTTGTTTTTATTTCATTTATTTAGAAATTTTATATTGCTGCCTATTCACACATGGCAGCTCAAGGCAGCTTACAGGAATATAAAAACATCATATATAAAAAATAAAACTAATAGAAGAAAATAATCAAATAATCAATTAATAAAATAATATAATCGCCCCCCACCCAAGCGACAACACATCACACAAGCCATTTAATGGGCTCCATCCCACTCTGGGTTGATACCTGGTCCCATCTTTCTCTAGCTTCGGGCAAGTATTGTTTAGCATATTCCTGATAGCACACAATGGCAAAGGCATAAGACTGCAGAGATGAAGTATTATGTCACTGGGATGGCCCTACAGCTCTTTATGGATGGCAACAACACTCCTTATTGCTAATTACGGGATATTTTGATTTAAGCTGCTCAGAAGCACTAGAATGAAAAGGTCCAGTATAAACAACTGACAAAGGAAGAGGGAGCATATGAAATCAGTGTGGCTCCATCTCTTCCAGGTTCTGGTAACTAGCAACATAATGTGCATCCTATATTTTATTATTATCTATTGGAACACACTTAGATAAAAATCTGCATTTAATACATCCCCCCCCCACATTTCAGCAATTTCAAAACAACATTTTCTAAAAGCACGCTTACCTGAGCCTCTTCTTGCTGTTTTTTCAGCTGTTCCAGCATCTGTTGGAACTCTGCCTCTTTCTGCTCAGCTTCTTCCATGGTGGCTTGATTCTGCTCTTCATAAGCCATGGCAACAACAGCCAGGATCAAGTTGATCAGGTAGAAAGAACCCAAGAAAATCACCAGGACAAAAAAGATCATGTACGTTTTGCCAGCAGCACGTAGAGTCTGGGAAAGTGAGTTGAAGAAAGAGAGACAAACAAACAGAACAAGGACTCATCTACCTGATTTTAAAAATTCAGTTTTAGTTATTAAAAATCACTGGTATTTTACGATTACAATCATAAAACTACAATGGCATACCAAATAGGCATAATAAGTTTCAATTCTTTGTTGCTAACGTAAAAGATAGTTTACATTAAAATAAATCAGCAGCAAGACTGATGCTTTTGTCCCAACATCATACATATTAATCTTGCCTCATGACTGTTCTCACCAGTTGGTAAAGATTTTCCCAGAAGTCCTGAGTCATCAGCCGAAAGAGTGACAAGAAGGCCCAGCTGAAGGTGTCAAAGCTTGTGTAGCCGTAGTTGGGGTTTCTACCAGCTTTTACACACATGTATCCTTCTGGGCATTGGCTATGAAAAGGAATTGCATTGAGTATTATTGTTATTTGCCCTTTAAAAATATTTTCAAATATGACATTTTAATTCTAACCTGAACCATTTATTTTCTATTATGTTCCGGATTGTGACTGAATGTACAAAACTGGGTTCAGCTGCACTTTACATCTCACTGAGATCAATGAACATTTTAGTCCTATATAACTAATGCTCAGTTCATGCTGAGATAGCAAGAGAGCTGTTTGCCAGAAGATGCCATGACGCACACATCCCACAGACTCCTGAGTCCATGCTCCAGCGTGAGTCTGAAAACTCAGAAGACTAAACCTCTGGTCGTATTGACAGACCAAGATTGGATCCTGCAACATTATCCTGGGACACGTATATTTTCCTTTATTTGACAGACTTGATCCCTTGATTGCTTTTATTTCCCTTCTCTACACTTCCTTATTAGATCTTGTAGGCAACTGCTTGAATTTCAACGTCCAGAGTTTTTAGCTAGTTAACTTTTGATTGCGGATTAACAGCTCATTAATTTCAAAGACACCTGTCCTAATTACAAAAAAAGATTTTGCATTATACATGTTTTGTATACAACGGCACCTGATCTAGTGGCCAATGTCTCTAATATTGGCCCAGGGCATTTGCTTGATCTGAAAAATACTTAATCTTAATCTCAAAGCTATCTGAAATTAGTCTTTACCTCGTGATAAAAAGATTATAGCCGAAATAATAATAAGTATTGTTAGCCTTTACAAAACTAGAATTCCTGGTCATTTTTATTTCTTCAGAAGTAACTACATATTTTCTGCTCCTACGTATTTTAAACAACTCTGGCAGACCAACTGCTTGATAAATAATTTGGCAAGCTTTCTAGAGAAATTTTGATATGCTCACAATTTTTTTAAAATTTTAAAATGCATTTCAAAAATTAATCCATTGATTACCAAAATGCTTTGCAAACATTTTGGTTTAAATAATTTTGGATTATTTAAGCCAAACATTTGGAATATTTAAGCCAAATATTTTTTTTAAGATAAGAGCGGGCACTTATACTTGAATAAATCCATTACCAGTGCATAACTAGGAGTCTGCTAATTTCTGCTAGCATTATCTTGTTAGGTAATTACATTACATTAGGATGATCATTCTAATATCCACAATCATCTCTTATGCTCATAAGATGTCCTACTTCTCACAGAGTAGCTGCTACAGATCCTGGAGCATGTGAGGTTAACTGTTTCCTAACTACCGTATTTTTTGGAGTAGAAGATGTACCCTTTTCCCTCAAAAAAGAGGGAAAATCTGGGTGTGTCTTATACACTGAATACAGTATTTTTTTGCCTCCTGAAACTCCGCTCCCTTCACTAAAATGGTCGTGCATAGCTTGTAAGAGGCTTTTAGAGAGCTCCTAGGGGCTGGGGAGGGCAGAAATGAGCCCCCCCCAGCCCCCAGGAGCACTCTACAAGCTTCCTAATGCTCGTTTTTGCCCCCCTCCAGGAACACTCTACAAGTCTCCTAAGGACTATTCATGCCCTTTTTTTGCGGGGGGGGGGGGAAATGGGTCAGTTTTTGCAAAAAAAACCGAGCCATTTTTGGGAGGTTTGCAGAGTGCAAAAACTTTTTAAACATTTTGCCTCTTCAAAACCTTGGTGCGTCTTATACTCTGAAAAATATGGTACATTACAATAGTATGGAATATTATGGGTTATTAAATATTCTTACCCAGCATCTGAGCTATTACCACAAAGAAGTGCATCTCGCTGTCCTTCCAAAACATAAAAATGACCTGATTGAGAAAAGAAAAAACAATTATGGTATTATAGATCCATAAGCATCAGAAGTATCAAATAGAAATGCTACAATCAATTAATTAAAACAATGTGTGATGAAGAAAACTCTTTTATGAAAGTTATGGATTATTGCTCCAAATGCTATTTTTTTGCTATCATTTTTATTATTGTTTTACTGAATTATTTTGTAAGCTTCTTGGAGTTTTGTTTGAATTAATCAGCAAATAAATTAGAACAAATAAAATATATCAGTGCAAAACTTTATTTTATTTTAAAAATAAACAAGGGTTTCTCTTTCATAGGTTTAGATGGTCATTGTTAGACACACTCTACTAATTGATTTAAGTACATAAATTTGTATCATTGTATGTATAAAGAAATCTTAAATTACAATCCCATGCCCAATTTTTAGGAGTTAGCGTTACTGAATTCAGTAGAGTATATGAGAAAGGTGAATACTAAAGGTGCTTTTTTCCCAAAAAGCAATTGAATTTAGTTTTTTTGCTTTGAAAACATTTTACTTCTCATCTCAACTGAAGGCTTCTTCAGTTTTAAGTGACTAGAGGAAAATGGAAGGATTTATACTCTTTGCAGCTCATCTGGTTGTTAGTTCTCTGAGGTTACTGTGGTCATTTGGGGTTTATCATTTATCATTTGGAGATTAATCAGAGTGCAGATGGTGGTGGAGCCTTCTTGGGATTTCTGAAAGGACTACTATGTAAACAGAAGAGAGGTGGTGTTGTATCCTTCCCCCTATGTTGAGAGAGGACTGTTCAATCTTGATGTACATGTTTAATGTTTAATGTTTAATAAATTTATATGCCACCCAATCCCGAAGGACTCTGGGCGGCTTACATAAAAACAATTTAAAAGAATACTAAATTTTTTTAAAAAGATAGAAAAACAAGGCAAGTTAAAAGACACAACATGCACTCAACCTTAGTGGGGCTGGACCTCATTCAAGAGGTCAACAGCCCCAGGCCTGCCGGAAAAGCCAGGTCTTAATAGACTTTCGGAAAGCCGTGAAAGTGGGGAGGGGCCTCTTTAATCCCTCCTTCAAACCAGTGGTCCTCTCTCTATCTAAAATGTGGGCTTCAGTGTCTATAAAAGAGTGACCTTTGTCTTTCAAATACAGATGGACTGTTGAATCTTGTCCTGATGGGTTTGTTCTCCTGTGTTGTGCCATGCATTTGTGAAGTGGTTGTTTTTTTCCCCCAACGTTCAGGTCTGTACATGTCTCACTGCATTGCACTACATATACTACATTGCTCAGTTTGTGTCTGAGTATTTTGTCCTGGGGATGGACAAGCTTCTGCCTTAATGTATTCCTGGGTTTAAGGTGGGCACATATGTTGTGTTGGTTCAAAATCTTCCTAAGTTTTCAGATATTCCTGCAATGTATGAAATGATAGTGTAGCTTTATTTGTTGTTTTCTTCTTTTGTTATAAACAAGCTCTGCTGGATCTTTTCTAGGAGAATTTTCAACCAAGTGGGTTCAATGACTTTCAGAGAGCTGACAAATAACGCCCAGAGTACTAATGATCAGATGACTGCAAATAATATAATATAATAGTAATATAATCCCTTCCCTTCCAGAAAGTTAGAACTGCAGAAGCTACTTGGATGAAAAGTGAAATGTTTTCACAGACCAAAAACAAAAAACAAAAAAACACACAAGAAAGTCCAGTTGCCTTTTGGAAAAAACATTTCTGGGACAACCATGACCTGAATGATTGAGAATCTCCATAGACAAGAAGGGTGAATGCTTCTTCCAATGACAATTGATGCCCTTTAATTGTGTGTATTAAAGTAAACACACACAAAATGAACATTTAGTTTTATTAATAGGAGGGAGTTCAGTGAGATATACACCTGGATAAATAATCAGAGTTCTATACCAATTACGATTACATCCCTAATTTATTATTTTAGCTTTTTAGAGATCATTTAATTAAATCCATAAAAGTTAAGCATTTATCTTTTAAATCCATGTTAAACTCCTAGCTGTCTACAAACAGTCAAAGAGGAGACAAATAACCTGGGTCATGATGCCATGATACAATTTCACCATTATCACTTCATTGTGATTTTTATTCACAAAAGAACATTAAGAGTTTTTAAAATGCAAGTTTTATTTGCATGAAATTATGTCAAATGATGTCAGTATGCTAAGGTCAATGGAAAAGAAAGGAGATGGCTTTTAACAATTAGTTGAAAATCAATTAGTAGAAGAATCCCTGCTAGACACAACCAATAATACACATGGTTATATATTTTTCCTCTATATACCAATTATATTAAATCATCCTTACTTTCATCCTCAATGTATTCCTCCCAGTTAAAAGTGGTCACTGTCATATTTACAAAGGTATCATTGTCTCCCTCCGTGCTATTGAAGTGGGAAGTGATGTTTCCTTCTAAAGTAGAATTGTCCAATGGCCACAGCAAGCATTTATGCCTCAGGTTCCCCATGAAAAGTTGGAGCCCTATTAGTGCAAATACACTCAGACAAAACACGGTCAGGATCATGACATCTGAGAGCTTCTTCACAGATTGAATGAGGGCCCCTACAATTGTCTTCAGGCCTGCAGGCAGAAAGGACCAAAAATGCTGATCAGAGTGTGTCAAAAGTTCTTCCATTCTATTTACGATGCCATGCAGCCACAACTATGTCCCATTTGTGAAACAGTGAAGCTTTATGAACAGCATTAGCACTTGTGAAAATGTATGAAGAAAAACCTTCTATAATAGGGGTCTCCAACCTTGACAACTTTAAGACTTGTTGACTTCAACTCCCAGAATTCCTCCCCCAGCTTTGCAAAGAGTTGAAGTCCACAAGTCTTAAAGTTGCCAAGCTTGGAGACCCCTGTTCTATAAGGTATACAAGATGAGGTGGACTGCTTCCCTTTTTTGTTTAAAAATGGCATATTCATTTAAGGCAATCCATTTTTAAAATTATTCTCCAAAAAAGTGGAAGCAGAGTGGTGAGATCCTAGGTGATGACTATCTTGACATTTATTTAATAATCTCTTCTTGGCAGTGACGTGCGGTGAGGTTTATGGCTGGTGAGGCAGTCCTCTCCCCCAACCCCCCATCAACTAAAGCACTTTCTTTCACCCGCCTGTGCTCACGGCAGCCCACCTGAACTCTGCCACGAGCACAGGCGGGCGAAAGAAAGTGACTTTCGCCCGCCTGTGCTGGTGGGCTGCCGTGAGCACAGGCGGGCAAAAGAAAGTGCTTTAGTCAGTGAGGTGTCGTGGGAGAGAATTCCTGAGCATTGCATTTATTAAAGAAAAAAGAAAATTTGAACGAAAAGAGAGCGTGGGGTGGGGGTGGGGGGCATCAGAAACGGAGAAAGAGAGGAGGAAGAGTGAGAGCGACGCTGCAGCTTTAAACAGAATGACAGAGTTGAAGCCTCTAAAAAATGCGCCCTCTACTATGAGGCAGGAGAACTGCGTGCCTCAACTACCTCGGGATTTTTTGGGCTTTTAACCCTCGCTTAACTCTGCTGGAGCGCCTAAAATGTTAGACTGATGTTCCTTCCCATAGATTGGCCAAATATTCCATCTCTCAGGCTGGGGGGTGAAATTATACGCCCCTCAGAGAGGGTTCGC